AGGTTACTATGACATTTTCTGTATACATATTAGACTTAGTCACACAATGATGTCACAAAGAAAACCGTTGAAAAATAAGCGTTCAAGAGAAAAACAGGCACTTTTCCATACGTCTGAGTATTAACGGAAGCATTCCGAAAACAAAAGAAACACTTAATCACCAGGACACCAGTATAGATAGAACGACTAAGTGGACTGAAACTGTCAGTGATTTGTATTATAATAAGAGACCACCCGATCCATAGTCCGAAACCTTTGCCAATACATTACGCCTCACGTATACTCGTATGTTAAAGTAACAAATATACCGATTTTGTTAAATACTATTGTTTATACAATGACCTTATGAAAATTAATGAAGTGCCATTGTTGGACAATAAAGGTCTTCTATTTTATCAGAATAATGTAATATAGATAACATTGTAAGTAATATTGTATCAAAGAAAGTCGGTGATAATGAATGTGTATTTCACACATCAACTATTTTGTACAATAAAGCATTTAATATTTTTGGTAAGAAGTGTTTGAAAAAATAAAAAAGCATGAAAATGAAAGAAAATACAAAAGTCACCTGTTTAATAATGACTGCGAAATTTAGAATATATTGGAAAAACAATCTTCTGAAAACACATTGTTGTATAAATCAAAACGCGACTGTTTTAAAATGAAGCGTGCGCAAAATATAATATAAATCCACAATATTTTGCGAAACATCAAGAGTAATTTTTTGACATTTTAAAACTCTTTTTTTCAGTAACAATGTATTTCAGTAACAATGTATTTAGCATTCATAAAACTATTAGAGATTACTATCTCAGAAACTGAAAAACAACAACAACAACCCCCCCCCAAAACTAACAAAAAATAAAAAATAAAAATTAAAGTGTGGTAAAAGTGGAGGTGTTGATAATTTAATAAAACACACCTACGTTTTGTAAATTGTTCAATTATATGTACATAAATTGTGTTTATCCTGAGACTTGGACAAAAGGTATTATTGTTCCCGTGCCTAAAAAGGGAAACTCTAGTGATGAAAATAACTAAAGAGGAATTAATTTAACATTTTTTTTTAAAATAATATCAATTATGTTAGATTATCGCCTTCGTAGATGGGCAGAAACTAATAATTTGATGTCAGACTATCAATTTGGTTTTCGTAAAGATAAAAGTGCTATAGAATGTTTTTGCTCTTAATTCAGTTATGAGCAAAGTAAAAAGAAATGAAAATAAAACATTATATTCTGATTTTTCGATTTTCATAACATCTTTGAAGTTGTTAATAGGAATGGTCTATGGATAAAAATAATAACACACAGAGCGTCTTCTAGAAAATTGTGAATATGATTAAAGCCATGTTTGAAAATGTTAGATATGTGTAAAGGAAAATTTTAAGTGAATTTTTCGATTGTAACAATATAAATGTAGTGGAAACTGAATATCATTTTGTACTTGGTTGTCCGTATTACTTTGATATACAAAAAGAGTACTTACCAAAGTATTACTGCTCTTGACCAAAAATACACATGTTAATGAATAATTTAAACAATCTTGGTCGAGGTCCATTATGCAATGTTTCATGCAAAATATCTCACTTCTAGCCTATGACCCCACCGGGTAGAGCCAAATTTGACATCAGGTGCAAAATTTAAAGAACTTTTATAGAGGACCTATAGATGATATTATTTTCCAAATATCAAAGCTCTAAACCTTGTACCCTAAGACAAGTGGAATTATAAAGTTTTTACTATATGTACATACTGAAAATGTATGGCCCCCATGGAGCTCAGTGTTATAATTTGGACAATCTTGGTTTAGGTCTACTACACAATGTTTCTTGCAAAATATCTTACCTCTAGCCTGTGTCAATTCAGAGAAGATGATTTTTAAAGTTACTCGATATATATAAGGAAAACCTATGATCCCACCGGGGCGGGGTTAATTTTGACACTAGAGGCAAAAATTAAACAACCTTGGTAGAGGACCTATAGATGATATCTTATATTAAATATCAAAGCTCTAAGCCTTGTACATTCAGACAAGAAGATATTTTAAGTTTTTACTATATGTAAATATTGAAAATCAATGACCCCCGAAGAGGGGCCAATTTTGACCCCAGAATTTTAATTTGAACAATCTTGGTAGAGATCTACCAGATAATGCCTTATGCAATGTCTATGCTCAAGGCCTTGTGGGTCTTTACAAGAAGATTATTTGAATTTATTCTTATAATTCCTTTTGGTTGCCATATCAACCAGATTTCTGAATGGAATCAAATTCCTTGATCAACTTTGGAAGCCCTTCACCCAAGGACCAATCCTGCCATGTTAGGTTGAAAGTGGAATAGTGGTATTTCACAAGAAGATCACCACACCCACGCAACGAACGAAAGTACGCACATATTTTATTACGCTGTACTGAGGATTTCAGTACAGCGATCAGTATAGAACGCTATACTGATTTTTTTATTACTGCACTGACATCTGCGGATGTTTCTAAATTCAAAATTTCATAATTTCTGTGTTTAAATGTTGAATTCTGCTTAAGCCGGTGCTAGGGGCGTGGACGGTAGCTTGCACTTGACAGTACCGTCCATGAACAGGTTCAATCAAACCGAGCCTGCAACATTTTACAATTTTGCCGTGTTGGGCTTTCTTTAGGGATTCTGTTTTTCTCTTTTTCATATATTCCTTTATTATCAGGGAAATATAGAAATTCATTAAGTTATAAAATAATGAAGTTCGATATCTTAATCTGATTTGTTGTCCGTATGTGACAATATCAATTTAAGCGCATGCCTCAACATGATGGATCAAGTAAAATTTTGAATTAAAAGAAAAAAAAAGAAAAGAAAAGAAAAAAAAAGAAAAAAGATTATTAAAAGTGAATACCATTTTAATTATTTTGTAATCTGAAATATGTATAAAATATATTCAAAAGACATACATGTCCATGTATTACCATCTCAATACAAATTTTATCGTTTGATTTCAATTTCAAATTGCACAACTGAACATAGCTAGTATATTCTAAATGAAAAATTAAAGGAAAGATATGTAATCACTAAGTAAACTTAAGCATGTCCCATTGTTTTCTTTATATCCACAGCATTTATGCTGCAATAATGTTAATTAGAAAGATATTACATGCTATTTGATGCATGTTGAATTTGTTGTATGCTGATCGTTGTTTATAATTCACAAAGAGTTTAAGAACGAAATTGACGTTCGGAGTTTTTATGCATAAACGAAAAAAGGTAAAGAGCGTAACAAAAAATCACAAGGAAACAAAAAATTACGGGGTAACAATAAATTTTAGTAAGACCGAAAATGAAGTGAAAAACATTAAATGACAGACAAATAAAAAAAATCATACTACTGCAAAAGTAATCTTCTCTGAAATGACACAAAATTAGCAATACATTAAATACATGGGCATATGATACAAAAACTAGATCGAAGACTCCTATTTATTTCGGTTTAAATGTTTTAAACAGAAAATGCAAATTATAAGTTCTATTGAACAGTGTTCATTACGGCCTTATTCGTGTACATATGAAATCTATAAAGGCACTCAACTCAATATTTTTTAAGAATTACTGTTCAGAATCTATACTTATTAGAATTAAAAAAAAAATAATGGCGAAAGTCCACTGTACAGTATGTTTTAATGTGTTATAGTTAACATATCATATCGTTTCAATAGGATAACATTTTTAACCTGTCAGATTTTGAAAAAAGTACAAGTGAAGATTCCCCGTACAAGATAAGATTTATTACATAAGATTTTACGTTCTGAAAAACCTGTACAAATAAACATTGTCAGTGGAAATTATAAATGAAACTTTTATACGTTCAACAGAACATTCTTTAATGTATTTTAAAGGTAAAAGGAACACAACGGAACCAAACGGTCAATAGAAAATTTCATCAATACAACTTTGGTTTACGTCTATGATCTTTTTATTGTCACCGATATACGAACAAGAACTACATGACCAATCAAGTGGATTGTGGTGATGTAACTCCCTTTTTGATACAATTACAATAATAAGTCACTTAATGTAAAATGGAAAACAGATTATACAACAAATAAAACAGCTCGTACCAAGATAAGTTTTTGTGACAATGCATAATTATGTAAATCATTTACGTAATACAGAGCTAATAGGAACATACTTTTTCAAGTAGGTACTTTTATAATTCTCTATGATAAAAGTTTTAGTTTAATGTTTTCATGACCTGACTAAACCAATTTCACCCCAACAGTATAATTTGTGACTTTTAAAACCAAACTTATCATTTCATAAGGTTTTCGTTCATTGTTGGATAAAATGTTGTAACATGTGTACATTTTATTTATCATAGGGCATATGCAGGGCACTGCCTTAAATAAACATTTATATTTCTAAAAGTGTTTGCTCAACGTAATTGTCAAATGTAAGGCATTTCAGAGCATGTGTATAACTCTAAAAACTGCTTACTTGTACGATAAGAATTGCTTTCTCTTCATGTTTGTTTCCGCGTTTTAAAAAATAACTGTTAAATGTAATGTCAACAAATTTGAATAATGATTCTAAACGAAGAGACCCTTGTTAACATCATAAATCTTACTTTTGCCTCTGGTACAGATGGTAAAACATTTAACCATTTTCAACTTCTGAAAGTTTATTATTTTTAAAAAAAATTTTAATAGTAGCTAAGTTAACCCATACAAAAGTAAGAATTTAAAAACAAATAAGCTTTTCTATGACAATTCATTCATTAGTCAATCAAATAATATACAAAAACTTTATTGTTTAACGTTTCAATACTTATTAAGTTGTTTTAACGATGTTTTAACAACTTGATGTTTAAAACAATTCAATTAAAGTTACGTAAATGCTATATTAAAATTATATAAGACCATTAACCAAAACAAAAATACAATACGGCCTTGTACCATAAGCAGTTCTTCACGACCCCTATTATATACTTCAGTCAAAATCATTACCATTAGTGAACTTCCTTTCTATACCAAGCATGGTGAAAATGTAGGCCAAAATGCCACTGGTTAAATACAGCCAATAATTAAAACACATTTAGTTAAGTTTTTCTCTCCGTGTCTCAATCATGGGCTATACTTTGTCAATATGTCTATGGATTTTGTCATTAGGTAAACTATCAATAATATCAAATAATTTATAACATTTATTAATCTACGAAATTTTGAAATTATGTCACATATGACTTGATTTAATATAATCATGAATTGCAATTTTTTATATTTCCTCATAAATATTAAATGTCAATTTCTTTAAAGCGGTATTTCACTTAATTGAAAATATTTATATTATTAATAATATTTTTTATGACATGTTCAATCTATAAACTACATGTCAACAAATTGCTTGTGGTATTAATAAATTGACACTGTATATGAAACGTTTATCGTGTCTTATAATTCAATGGAGGTTTTATTAATTAATTGAGTTTGTACATAAAAACAATATGGGTGTTTATAATTCCGACTCCGAAATATGTTAAAAAACAATTCAAGTGTTATCATTAATGTATTTTAGTCTCAGTTTTATCATTATATAAAAGTTATAATTAGTGTGTTTTACAAAATTATGGTTAATACAATGAAATTATATTTAGAAATAGAAATTTATTTTGGCATAAAGTAATATGTTTTATAGGAGATGCTGTCGTTGTATTTTATATATTCAAATTTATTATGGAACCAATTGCAATAATTTTTATAATTGAATGTGATTGTTTCTGATATTGTATATTCTACCCAACATTTATAATAAATTGTGTAGGTAATGTTTTACAAAACGGATCATCACTGCCCTACAATAAAGAAGAATGCTTTGAAGACCTAGGCTGCTTCTCAAACGAAGCCCCTTTTAACAACACGCTTGGTCGACTACCAAGACAAAACGATGATACATTCAGGTATGACACTTTTGTTTCTTTTTTTCCCAACAAAATATTTTACTAGATAAACAGAAAAATAAAATTATTGACGAGAGTATTTGATTGAAATCAAAAAGTTATATGAGAATTGAGGCCCTTTTAAAACTATTTTGAATTAACAACTAGTAAAAAAGTGTAAAATCATACCCAGAGTATGCTATTACATGTCAGCGTTTGGTGCTAAACAAGTATATCACATCATCTGATTTGAATTCCTTTATTTTAAAACACATTTTTGGAACATGTCTAGTATTATGAAAAAAATCTTATTAACAATTTAAGCAGCTTGAACTTAAAGTAATTTCCCTTTGTTATCAGTCTGATCACGCTCTTATCTGTTGCTATCATATTTGATATTAAAATCTCTTCAGTTTTAAATGGACTGTATAAATTTTAAAACTAGACATTTCTACTTTACAACAGTAGAAATGAAATTGAACACGCTTTATTAGACAATACTAAAATTCTAACAGAAACCATGCTAACTAACAGTGGCATATGTGTTTGTATTTTTTACTTTCAGAATAATTACAGATAAATGTAGGGGATCACACATTCTTAATGTTGGCAAAAATACGTATACATCTGCCTGTAAATATGACCCTGAACTTCCCCTTAAAATTGTGGTACATGGCTTCCAGCAGAATTCAAAGAACAAATGGATCAGCGATGTTGTTACGGCTCTTCTAAAGAAGGTAATGACATATCTGATCAGTTATTTTATATCATGTTCATGTATATGTATAGACAGTTATATAGAAAACCTTGTCAAATAAGAAAACCTTAGACGTCGATTAGCACGGCAAAATTGAAAATGCAGCAGGTTTGGCTTATAAACAGGAAGTGGAAGTCAAGCTTATTAAAGCAGCTAACCGTTAATACACATTGCATTTTGTTTCTTATTTATTTTGTTTATATTTCAAACTGATATAAGAGGTATATTTTTCAATTACAGGAAGAGATGACAATTATTACTGTGGATTGGGGTCAAGGTGCGGATCTTCCCTATCTCCAGGCTGTTGCAAATAGTCGTTTGGTTGCAGCAAAAATTTCACGTCTAATTAAGATAATGGAAATTCCTCCCAAAAAGATACATATAATAGGATACAGTTTAGGAGCTCATATCGCAGGTTATGTTGGAGAAGATATAAGCGGCATAAGAAGAATAACAGGTATAATGCATATTTCTGACGAATCTGTTGATAATAACATTTTTTATTCATATTTATAAGATTTTGGAATACTGACTTTTAATATCATAGAAAATCAAAGCCGTAATATTGTATATGATAAATATATTAATAAATAGAGAACTTTAGAAGACATATTATCACAAATTTTGTAGATAAGTTGGAGAGATTGTGTTTTAATATAAGCAATCTAAGTATACACATCCGTTCGTTCGACAATTCTTTAACTGTAACCAGAAAACACAGAGTTACAGGCATATTATGCTCGAGAAACAAATTTGTTTCCTTCTTTAGAAAATTGCACACTTAAGTTTTACAACGTTTAAGCAGCAAAATGATAACAAGGAAGTATTATGACATCCAAACAAAAATACTAAATCACTTTATAGAAGAAGATAAATTCTTTATTTTAAAATCCACGTATGAAAAATTACAGTCTGGTTTAAGCTGATCAGCCCTGGACCTGACACAAAATTTAGCTACAACATTTTGAGCAATACAAAATGTACAATAAAATACACAATACAATACAACGACGGACAATGAATAATAAAATTTTTTACTATCGAAATTGAAAACAAAACATTTTGAAAGTATTATCGGAGAAAAAACTGTTTAAAGTTTTTTTTACTTTTTTACAATTTTTTCCAAAAAAAGGTAACAACGCCAAATAAAATTAGGTAATATTATTTGGCCTAAAAAAACCAATATTTGGGCAAAACTGGCTTTAACAGACATACACAAAAAAACTCTGAAAAATCCTGAATAAAGCAATGTAAAGATTATATTTAGTTTACAGCCCGAATGGATAAAGCTTTTTCTTTGTTCCGTATACGATGAATACAAACAACAACAACAACAAACCCCTCAAAAACCAAATAAAAACCAAATAATTAAAAACATTAAAAAACGCTTATATATTTTATCTTTTTATGAACTTTAATATACAGGTCTTGATCCGGCTGAACCGAATTTTAGCAATACAGATTCTGTGGTTCACCTGGAAAAGACAGACGCCGAATTTGTTGACATTATTCACACAGATATTCTCACACATGGGTCTGGCAAGTAGTATTAACATATTTTGAAATTAATAAAAATATGGGAAGGAAATAGTTCTTATAACTTGAAATAGATATTTTTTTGATGAATTTGGTGAAGACTTGCCACCTCCCATTACATGATAATTCTTTCACATGATAATTTAGCTTTTCAGAGAAAATGCATAGGCAGCTGTAATTAAAGTCGTATATATTTTACCAAGACAGAATTTTCAGGGAATGTATTAAACTTTAATCAACGATTTTCTATCCAGTATTTAATTTTGGAAATGTTTGTAAAGGTGTGGGCTGGATTGAAGACAGCGGTCACATTGACTTCTATCCAAATGGGGGGAAGAATCAGCCTGGTTGCTCAGGAAGTAAGTTATTGCTTTATATATATACTCGTATATACGAATTAAATTACTTTATTTATATAATATTGTATCAATAGTCATGATTAATCACTTTTATGATTAAAAGGATAAATAAATGTCAGAACATACTAACATTATTCTATGTAGTTTCACATTGATGTTATAGTATATCAAAGTAGTTTATAAAGTCCTTTAAGAGTCTTTTAAGAACTACGATTTGGCACCAAGGTTATTCCGTATACTTCACTATTATAAGCTAATAGACGACTTAAATAATATTTATTGTAGTATTGATTGTTTCATCTATTTTAGCATTTGATATGACCTGTAGTCACCATCGATCTACACAATTATTCATTGAGTCCATAAACACCGACTATCCTTTCTATGGATACCCGTGTGAGAGCATCGATGACCTTGAATCAAACCGGGGCAATTGTCTCACATGTTCACGAGGAGTATGCCCAGAAATGGGTTATAATGCGGACAAGAGCAATTCACGTGGAAAATATTACCTTCTTACCAGAGAGGAGGCACCATTTAGTGGTGAATTAAAATTCTTTGTTATATATATTTGTATCTATTCAATTAAAATCTCACAAAAATGAACACTGTAGTAATAAAGTTAAGGTAAAAGTAAAAAAATATGATAAACTCAATTTTCATTACAGTAAAGAAGATACGAAGCTACACATAAATTAACTTTTTCTCAACTTAACAATATGAATATAGTTTAACACTAAACATATGTTATTAAACCATATATTGTTTATAGATGTGTCCGCAACAAATGAAGTAAACAAAACAATTGTAATTTACTTTTCTGTCTAACAGGTTATACCAGACATGTGGAAGTGGAGTTTGGTCAGATGGAAGATGTAAAGGGACAAATTATTGTTGAAATGATTGACAAAAATAGGGCCTCAACCAGTATTGTAATTGGAAGGTGTGTAAAATTGGTTTCGAATTACGAGTTTGTAAACAGAAATATGTTTTGACACTTCTCGACTGCACACACGCAATATAAATGCGTTTAAAGGTTTTGGGTATACTGCTTGTTATGTCATGATTTCTTTCTTACACGATTTAATTTTTTGTAGAACAATTAAATTGTCCATACTATTGTTTGAATGATTTCTTATGATGCCATTTGCCTACATTTTATCATTATTTACACGTGCGATCACATGTTTATGCAAAAGTGTTTAGTGAAAGTATATAGCTATAACACAATATCTAATGAAATATACGGTTGGTCGAACATCTCTTTTTAAAGATAATATGATTAATGTTGATTTACTTTACACTTTTTATTAACCAATGAAATATTTTAATGATTAAAGACAACCAGTAGGCAATAACGTCAGGGGGAAATCGTTGTTTCGTTTAGCAAGAATACTTTACACGCATTGCTCAGTACTGGTTGGTTACAGGAACTGATTCGAGATTGTTTGAATACTAGTAAGCTTATAGCTTCCAACACAATGGAACTAAAATAAATTATATTATAAGCTAAAACCTGAATAAGAAAAATCTCAGATTAGGTGTCTTGAAATTATGGACATAAGGTAATCATGAATGGAATATTGAATTGTTATTTATTTGAATTAAGTTGATAGATTGAGAGTATAATCTAAATAAAGGATTGATGCTTTAAGTTTGTTTACAACCATTTCACTCTCAGAAAATTGCTATAATTATTATAATTACTATTTTTAGCGATAAGAATTCGTTTCGGTCAGGGAATCGGCGTGGCAATGTAGCTGTGATACGCCAGATAGAAGGTGAAATCATAAAGATACGAATAAAATATAAACAATACTGGAACTTATACAGTTTTTTCGGAAACAGTGACAAGCATGTAGTTATTAATAAAGTGAAAGTGACCTCTGCAGAAAATGGCCGGAGGTAGGTTTCATACAGATTATTTTAATTGTTGACTTGGCGTTAATTTGTCTGTCCAAATATCATTATTGATTTATAGAGTAATAGCTGGATGTAAAAACATAATGACCATACAATCTGGTTTTGAGAGACTCTGCAATGTGAATCTTTGATACGTTAACTGTACATTTTAACCCGAACATTTACAAATATGATTAACATATAAATGAAAAAAATAAAGCCAGGAGAAAACCTGAATCTTTAAAGAAAGCCAAATATATCCTTTATATTGTAGTATTTATTTTTGTGGAGGAAATATCACCTTGGGGGATGGAAATTCATCAAGAATTGAAAGAAGTTCAACAGATCCAAACGAGTGTAATGTTACGCCGACAGAGGAAAGATATATACCAACGGCAGTTCAGGTTGCGAAACTGATGGCGTCATCCTTATTATCTACGAACATAACAGATCGCTTTTTTCCAAAGGAGGCAACGACGACAAAACGTAGTAGCCTTAAGACTTGAAGAAGATATGTCACAGATATGACTATTTATTCAACCACAGAAACACAATCCAAGTCTATTTAAATTCACTACTTGCAAAATTGAATTGTTTGTATTACATAGTATCATGAATTATGTGTTGACAAAACAAAAAAAGATGCACTTTATTTGATTGTACAGTATTTGATAGAAATTTGTCTCTTTGGGGTAATTCAATTTATTTCAGTGCATTTCAGATAAAACAATCATTATCACCGAGACAACTTGTACATTTTCATATTTATTTATACAATTTACTCAGTAAATTTGAATTCATTTTTTTTGAAAGTCAAATACTGATTTATCAATGCAGAATAAAAATTATAAACCTATGTATTCTGTTGTTGTTATGAAATTGAAAGAGTTTCATCATTTTTATGGCCTTTATTCTGTATAATGTCAGAAGTGTTATAATTTTAGAAGTGGTATTTCTTTAACTAGAAATGTCCATTGGAAGTTAATTGTTAAAACATAATATCTTTAAGTTTAAATGCAATTGATAAACATACACTTATGATAATCACTTTGTGTGAAAACTGAATTAAAAACGTATGATATATTTCAGAAAATAAGATAAAAATGAAAACTTTAAATATACCATAAACCTTGAACCGTCTTAAGCCTGAAAAATGAGTCCCACGTTTTATATTTTTGCTATTTAAGAGGACTAGAAAGACTTTATATAATTTCTATTATTTTCGCAGGCGTACACAATTGTTTGCTTGATCTTTTTTCATTTTCCCCTGCACATATCAATTAATTACAAAATCGCAAGCTCCTATTTTATCGGGTCGGGCTGTAGTCATTAGTAACGTTGGTTAATTTTCACATTTTGAAGTATTTCTGGTTTTGAATTATCAAAGGCAATGTTAAACTAATAAAGTTAGAAGTTACAAACAGTAGTGAGTATCTATTGAGTTCTACTTTGTATCTTCAAATAGAGGGAGACGACTTCTTTGTGAAATTAATATTACAATTTCGGAGTTGTTTCCTCTATATACTATAGTTCGCTACTGCATGACAACTTTGAATACAAAACATATTAGGACAAGCTTTTAGGATAGAGATGAGTCTTATGTCTCTTTAAGTAGAAATAACCATCATAGCATGCAGCACTTTTAAAATCTAGTTGTTGATGCCAAATACAGAAATCTCAGATTTATCTTATGACTTAAATGCACTGTATCGTGAAAACACACACACACACACACAACAAGAACATAAAGTAGAAAAGACACACAATAGAATATGTTAAGATTTTTTCTTTAACATGAATCATGATATCAATTCGGAGAAAGTTAAAATATTGCAATAATTTCCTGCGACAGACGCACTTGTAAAGAAAAACACCAATCGTGTACGATATAAAATAAAAATATGAAAAAAATAAGAATCTGTATATCTAAGGGCTATCTTGATATTCGCTTAACATTGTGCCGTTCTGAATATTGTCTTGTCCGTCTTTATAATTCAAGTGCACCACACTAGCGTAGGTATATTTGACATTAATGAGCGGACAAAAACCTACACAGCATCAGTGCCAATTATACTTTGTATTGACGCACCTTAAGTGTAACGCTGACATTTACGCTTTTATTGTATGTGGAAGTAACGTAATGTATATGCACGGACATGCAAAACCGTTTTTACGGAGTCACAAAAACGGCACGTTTATGTGATAAAGAAATATTTCAAAGTGAAATATTTATTGTGACCAATACAGTATTGTCTCCTGTCAAAAGACAATTGTGTATGTCTAGTATTTTCCAGTTCAACATTTGAGAACCGTTTAGACAAGATAAGGAATTAGAGTCAAGACAAGTGTTAATATAGTTTTTTCAACACGACTAGTAGCTAGTTTTTGTCGAGGTGTGCATTTATTTAATGCCGCCCGCACTTGATAATTGTTTTCATATATGATTTCAAACGATTTCCATTCAAATTACTAGTATATACTTTTACCAATGAAAGGTTTAAAATCACATTTTTGTAACAGTAAGTCTAACGGTTGAATATTTCATGGTTCTTTGAACATCGCTTGCTTTGCTGATCTCATGTCTGTTATTATTTCTAGCCAATGCATAAACTTGTATATACACTCGTCTATAAGATTATTTTACAACCGTTTCAATAGATGTAAAGTGTAGAATGCAGATTTTTTAAAAGTTGCCCCGAGCTTCACTTCAGCGTTATTATACTTGTAATATGGTACTTGCAGACCTCATATGACGCCGTTATTTTTGGACTGAGATCAATCAAACTTTATTGAGTTATAAGGCCACCGGCCCATACACATATAAAAATTTATAATACAAAATATACATATGTGGATGCTACAAATCAGACATGGTTAAGACATAATAGAAATATATAAAACAAAATGTCAACAATTATCATAGAAATAGAATTGGTACTAATTATCAAAATATAGACAAAAATAATCGTGTTCTTTAAGCGCTACATTTATCAAAGAAAAGTATAAATACTAATTATCTAAACATAGACAAAAATTGATCACGTTCTCTAAACGCTAGATATAGAAAAGTTGCTAATTTCTTAATTGTATCAATATCTTGAGTTGACATCAGATTATAATATTTTATATATGAAGGATATTTCCAGAAATAATCACTGATGTAAGTATGTCTTATATTAGAGTAAAGTGGACAAATAATTACAAAATGGTACTCATTTTCTTGTACACATTCACAAAATGGGCAATATCTATAATCACGTTCAATACAACTATATTGTCCAGTTTCTATCGATAAACAATGAGATGACGATCGAAAATTTGCTAAAACACTTCTAAATATTTTAATATCCAGACAATAAACATATTTTGCAGGTAAATAATCTTTTTTAAAATGAATATAATCCATCAATTTCACATTTAATGAACATTTTGACATCCAATTTTGAACATATTGGTCTTTTAATCTATTGACATGTATTGATAAAAATAAAATTGGCTGATCCACACATTGCATTTCCCAAATATATCCAAAACTGTTTTGATACAAGTTAGTTCTAACTACAGTTACCCAATTTTATGACCAATATTATCAAAATATCTTAACATATTATAACAAATTTTAACATATCTAGAAGGATGCATATTAATAATACGTATCCAATATTTCACCATGCGTTTATAAACCAGTATATACATAGGGTAACGACCCAAATCCCCTAAAACTGAATCATTGCAAGCTGTTCTCTTTACATAAAGAAAATGTTTACATGCATATTTATGAATATCTTCAGTGCATGATATGTTACCTGTTCCCCATATTTCGCAGCCATACAATAATACTGGACTTACTTTAACATCAAATATTTTGAAAAATGTTTGATAGGGTATACATTCTAAATTATTTAACGAGCTAACAATATGATTAAATACTTTCTTAGCTTTGATCGCCTTGTCCTCTTGGACCATTGATCCAAATACAGTCGGTGCAAGGGTTGTGAGAGAAGTTGATTTTTTATCTCTCTTAAACAGACTCAATCAAACTGAGTCTGTAATTTTTCATATCGTTATTTTGTTTTCATTGCTTCTGAGGAATCTCCCGTTTTCCAGATTTTTATACTGTAAAGTGTTGTGTGGTAATTGTACTAAAATCTAGTGTTAATTTTTGTTCTGGTATTTATGAATCATTGTTTCCAACGCGTTTGTATTAAATATTGAGTGCAGATTAAGCTTGAAGAGATGTTACACATTTACAATATTTCTCATGAACAGACACAATCGAAGCAATTGTCATAAAATTATGTTGTTGTTATCGTTTTCCAGGGATCTCCCCTTGCGGATTCCTCTCGTGGCTTCGATCTAACATAATTTGTAAAACATCTTGCAATCCCACCAGGAGAAGAAAGCATAAGCACAGTCGATGGACAACAATTATTTATGTATTATTTAAAGAACATGAACACATTAAATGAGAACAATCATGAACAGATATATCTGTAAAAAGTCTTTTTTCATTATCCCTCATGTTGTTTTAATGTTATTGTGTTGCGATTAATACTTTCGAGGGATCACACTTTACACATATTTTTGTTTACCTGAAATAATAATAGAATGCTGAAATACATGGTGTTTAAAATATGTAATATTTTCGACCCTGTTAGATTTTCAGTCAGATATTATGGTTGTTTGCTCATTTTTGTAGTGTCTGTGTTCCTTTTGTTTGTCTTTTGTTATGGAAGGATGCTTCGAACATTTTCAAATCTGATGTTTAAAATTACAACATTCTGTTCGTGTCCACTACGTTACGTATATACGTATAACGTGTTTAGTTTCTAGCTTGATTTATGATTAGCTGGAGAAAAGTTGCGGATTCAACATGTCCTATGAAATTGTTGAAAGAAAATAAAAGTATGTTTAAACGTCTTTCAAAAAGAATAAAATAGAAACCTTTTTAAGGAAATTAGATATTTGCAAATACTTGGTCATGACGAAAATGTTTTCTTTTTCACTTTTGCAATGCCGAGCCAATGTGAATAAGAGCATTATATTCTTTTAAGTAGACATTATATATTATATAAGTGGACACTTGTAATTCCCTTTAATTAATGATAAACGATTTGATTTAATAATTTTATCTTGACCCGGTTAACTAGTTTTCCTCTCAACGGTATACTTTGTGACCTTAAGACCACATTTTTTCGGATAACTTTTTAAGGTGAAGTGTTGTAACAACTTTAGTTCGACCTTATATTTAATAGGTCATATGCAGCACACTACCTTGCATTTTGTTTTATAAAGGTTCTCGCTTTACGTGATGTTCAATTATATGAATTTACATGTGTATATATATTTTTTAAGTTCAGAAATACTTATACAAACATATTGACACCAACGTTTTGCTTTTGTCGCGGAAATCTCAGCATGTGATTGTTAAACGACTTATATTTAAATCATTAATTTTGTACTAAGATAATACCAATGAAACACAACAAAGCAGATGAATTTTGTTCATGCTCGTGTTTTCATAAACGATTCTTGCTCCCTGTTATTTCACGTTTTAAA